TCCCCACATGGCATGCAGCATCAGCAGGCAGGGGAGCTCAGGGCACTTATGCCTCGTGCAGGTGCTGGTGCCAGGCAGGTCACGACTCCAGCCAGCACTGTACACAGGGGTGAGGGGCACAGCCTGCTCAGCTGCCTCTATTGCGGGGGCTCCATGCTACATGCTGGCAGCATCCACACTCGCAGCAGGGAAGCCCCGCACTGGATTCAGGGGGGCAAGCAGGGGGCAGAACTCCCTCCACTCCCAGTGGAGTCCAGGGACCTGTGCGGCATGGGGCAGGGAAGGCAACTGACTCCAGTGTGGGGCTTCCCCCAGTGTGGGAGCTGCAGGTGCGCAGCACGCAGTCCCCATGATAGAGGCAGCCAGGCAGGCTGCGCTCCTCACGCCCGCATGCAGTGCTGGCTGGAGCTGCACCCCCCCGGGCACTAGCACCTTGAGCACCCTGCCTGCAGCTGCTGCCAGCAGCAGAGGCTGTGTGCCATGTGGAGGAGTGTGTGGGGGGTCCCCAAACCCCCACCCTCCCTCGCACCCACACCCTGCCTAGCCGAGTTCCATGCTCCTGCTGCCCCCCAGGGCGCAGGCTCTGCGCTGCTCTCCACGCTTCCACCCAGCTGCAGCGCCATCACCCCCACTGCTTCCCTACCTGCCGCCCAGAGCAAGCTGGATGCTAGGGAAGCCAAACAGGTTCCCATGAGGGCAGCTGCAGCAGGGGCAGCAGCAGCCCTGCCTGGAAACTGTGTGATGGCAGAGTCAAGTTAGGCCTTTCCACCCATGAGGCTGGGAGCAAGGCGCAATAGGGTACGTTGTGGGGGATGTGTATGCATGTGTGCCTCACTCCCACCCTCATGGGCGGAAGGGCTGGATGGAGCACTATTTGTTGGTGGGCACTGCAAGCCAGATGAAAGTGTCTGGTGGGTCAGATTTGGCCTGCAGGCCATATTTTGTCTGTCCCTGTTGTATAATCACTTATACTTGGGCAAAGTAGGAGGGAAAACTCTCCCACATCTGGATGGTACTGTTTTGCACTCACTTTTCACTCTGCTAAAGCATAAATGATATGCCAAGGGGCAAAGCTGTGGAGAGTCATGCCCTCTTTGAGGTTGCATTAGGAATACCAACTTTTGCATTTCTCACTTCTCAGAACAGTTTGCCCAGAGGGCACAATACAGTATGCAACGCACAAGACAAGGATGGTTCAATGCAGCCTAGAGACCCACCCACATCCACAGGGCAGACTAATGGCTGCTCTCACCTTATATAGGAGGGAGCAACCCCAGGTCTCTACAGTGCCCGTATTTTAATGCATGTTTGCATCCTGGGATTCAGAGTCTAAGGTCTTCACCACTCTGTTGAAGAGGAAGACAGCTGCAATCTGAATCCATCTTGGCAAATTAGCTATACCTGTCATTCTCCTGGCTGCAATATATGAAGCTGAACAAAGTTTGGTCACCCCCTAACATATGCAACATGAAAAGAGTTAATGGAAAATTTAAGAATGAGTGAAAAACACCAAGTCTGAAAAGTGGCTCTCTTCCTCTGTGCAGTGTTTATAAGGTGGCATCTGTAGTGATGCTAGCTAAGATAAAAATTACAAGGCCTACTGATTCCCTTGCTTCAGGCTAAACCATTCAGACAAGGTGAGGCTAAAGGATCAAAAAGATAAGGGGGACCACGTAAGCTTCTCAACTGACTGTCACACCTGGGACTGGATCCTGTCAGGACAGAACATGAGACTGTGTGGAACGCCGGCCTTCTCTGGTGCAGATGCGTGACAAAAGATTGGACCAGATAGACTCTCAGTCTTAGCTGGTGCAAAACATTCAGCAGGATCCTGGAGATGCCAAGGAGGATGAATGGTTTGTCCACCCCACCGTGGCATTTCCTATCCTATTTGGTGGCTTTGTTTCTCACTGAGTTCAAATAATTCAGCATCAATCTAATTAAATTAACATATTTAAGTTTTTTCACCAAAAGGGAGAACCAAGCCTATCAATTTTAACTCCAAAAATGCTGCTTAAAACACAGCAAGCAAAAGCCCAGGGGAATATTGTGTGAGGGGAAAAGTGGTTGCATCTAGGTGGATGGTTTAGAAACCCTGCTCAAATTCAGAGGGTTCCACCAAAAATGCCCCTACCCAGAGGGGCTATGTAACAGGATGGGGTCCAAGGGTAAAAGTGATGGCTGTGGCTCTGGTGGCTGTGTTAGTCCTGCCTTGCTCTTCCTTCTGCCTCCCAAGGTCTCACCCAGCTTCCTTGGCTGCCACATCTTGATGTTAAAGATGTGGTGAAGCTGCCCTTGTAAGCTGGTGAGCTCTTGGTGCTCTTTCTCTATACTAGGTTCTTTCCTTGGGCTCAACTTGGCCTGCCTAACTGGGTTCTGGCCCCACCACCTCAATCACCCAAAAGCAGGGATGAGCAAAATATGGCCTGTGGGCCAGATCCAGCCCATCAGGTGATTCTATCTGGCCTGTGGTGGGTCCCAGGCACGGGCTGTGGCCCATGCAGCCAGTCCTACCAGCCCCAGGCACAGATGTGCTGCCTGGCACAGAGAGCAGCCCACCCTATCCCCAAACATGGCTCTCGGGCAGACCAGGATCTGGAGTCTGCAGGGCCAGGCAGCATGGCAGTAGGGTGGGAGAGGAACAGTAGCCACACTTGGCTTCTTGGCAACCCCGCTGGCAGCAGCTCGCTCTGCCCTCACACTTCTGGCTGCCACTGCCAGTGTCTTTACTGCCACTGGACCTGGCTTTGCTACCCAGTTACCCCTGCCCATCTGCCCTGCACCCACCACCAGGGGCACTGGATGGAGCAGGTGGGCGGGCAGGCATGGCAGGCATGAGGTGGGCGGGCAGACATGAGGTCTCCATGGAGACAGCCTGGGACCCACATGGGCAGGGTGTGCTTGGCTGGGCAGATAGGATGGGGATGCGGGCGGGTAAGGAGCAGTGTCCATGACTGGGATGGGCAGGCAGGGGCTGGGGCCAAGATCATGGGGAAGTGACAGCGTGGGGCTGGGGCCCAGGGCAAAGCTAAAATCCACTCCCTGCATGTCCCTGTGACAGGCACCAGTTCTGCGGGCAGGGCAGGGCAGGGTACCCAGGGTTTTAATAGCCTGGGGCTCTGCCCTCTCTGGTCATGTGACTCAGCCCTCAGCCTGCCCTCAGGTGTTACACCTTAAACCCTGAGCTGCAGCCACTGCTTTCCACCTTCACCTCTTTAACCCCTTGTGGGTTTCCCTGGCTCCACATAGCTCTGTAGCTGGCCCCTGCCTAGCTGCCTATTTAACTGCAGCCCTGCCATACTGGTTCCCTACCTCTCAAAGTAGCAGGGGTTAAGGGCCTCTACTACAAGCTCACCCCACTGGGTGCAGAAAGCCCCTACTACAAGCTAACCCCACTGGGTGCAGGAAGCCTGGTGCCATGTTTAATGCCTGCTGAATGGAGCCTTTCCTGATGCAAAGAGCAGGACAGGTAGGGGAATCCTTTAGCCAGGTAAACATGAAGCATAGACTAGGTATAGGTAATCCCTGCTCCAGAGCAGCACATCAGCCCACTCATCAAAACACAACTTGATGGCCTAGTTCAGGTTCTCTTGGCTTTACTGATACTTCCCTTCCTTCAGCAATCCCTCTATCGATCTTGCCTCTCATGGTTGCACTGGAGATCAGTATGTATCCTAGTGAACATGTTGTGTAGCCTCCTGAGAGCACTCTGTCAGCTGCACTGTGCATGGGAGTTGTTCCCAGAGGCTGGCTCACACCCATTTCACACGTAGCCTCCTGAGAGTAGGAGGCACCAGACAGGAATCATTGCTGGTTAACCCTGTTATTGTTGAACAGATGGGGAGGTCTTTAGGTCCTTCACCCCTGGGGGAATCAGAATTACATGGACGCAGCTCTATTTGCTGTACAGTTCATGAGATGAATGCTGATGCTTTGTTTTTAACCTTTTTTTTTTTGTCGTTTTCTCCTCTGCTTTAGAATAACCCGCAGATCTGCCCCTATGGTCTCTATGCAGAACAGCTCTCAGGCTCGGCCTTCACCTGCCCCAGGCCCACCAATAAGAGGAGGTATTGTGATGCTGACTTGTGACTGCCACAAATTATTGCTGTGTACAGGACAGGCCTGGGGAAAGCTGGCCATGCTCAGTTTCCCCTGAGTATCCCAGAAGATTGGACCAGACGATTGGATCAGCTGTTTATGGCAATAAAAAAATGCACTTTTAAAACAACAACAGGGAGTGAGAGAGGGTGGAGAAAGGTCATGTCTGGAGTGAGGCAAAAGACCTATCTAATGGTGGAGGGAAGAGAGGCCTCCTTGGGTAGGGGATATGGATGACAAAGGAAGAGAGGAGATGTCTCATGGGATGAACTACTGGGGTAGGGGGGATGGCATCACCGTGAGTCTGTGAAATAAGGTGAAGATCTCATCTTAGTTACAAGCAGCCATTGTAAACCACTGCCCTCAGAACCAGCCCTCCTGTGCTCCTAGCTGGTCTCATCATGCAGAAGCTGAACTCTTCTCTCTTTCTTGAGGAGGTCCTCCAGGGTGGGTAGATGCTGGTAATGAAGAAGCTTGCAATTCCACTGCCTGGCTGTCTCTGCTCTTTGGATAAACACAGGTTTTGCTTTCTGTCAGTCTGGCACCTGTGGCCATCTCACAAAGTACCAAAAAGCATTCCCAGCACAGACTGGATTGTTCCAGTCCCCAAAAATGTCCTTCTGCCTCATCTCCATCATTTTGCTCTGGCCCCTACCTGATCATGGAGGATCAGTATATCATGTTGCTGCTCTCCCATATGCTTCCCTGTCCGGTCTGCTCCTCATCCAAACAAAAGGCAGATGTATCCTCTGAGCTGCTTCATGGTTCTCTGCTTTGCTGCCTGGTGCCGGCTCTCTCTTGGCATGCGTGGGGAAGGGAGTGAATCATTGTTGCTGTGTGGAGATGTCCTTGATGGAAATTTTCTATCTCCCAAGGGAGTGCTGTCTCCCCTCCTCCTAACTGCAGCAGTGATAACACACCAGAGGCAACACATCAGAGGCTTTGGCATGCCTGTTTATTGCCTTCCTGATTATCTCTGGCCTCCTGCCTGGTTAAAACCCATCTCCTGGTTTGGCCCATTTCTTGTGTGTATTCTGGCTCTGGCCCCCAGCTTAGAGCAAGGGGGAGGGGCAGCCCGCAATTGGCATGGCAGGCAGGAAGGAAGCAGAGCAGAAATCCATTTATCTACAGGGGTCAGGCCTTGGGCTCTGTCAGGGTTTGTAGGAACTGGAGCTTTTTGGGCTAGGGACAGACATTCAAAAAGCCTGAGCCTAAATTGATTCAACCTTTGCAGGTTAGTCTAACCTGCAAAGCTTGAACCAGTTTGGAGGTGGATAGACATTTCCTTTTCATTCCAGAAATGCAGGCACATGCCTGCAGTGGCTCAGGATAGAAGCCAGGAGGGGGGAGTGGGGAGCGCTAGAGCAGCCCTCCCTTCCCTTCTACAGTACTGAGCTGGTTGTGGGGTGGGGAGGGGAAGGGATGGCCAGGCCCCAGCAGGATGCTCTTATTAGACCAGCAGGGAACTGATAACAGTGTGTATCACCCCTAACTCAGTATTTATCACCCCATTAAGAAAACAACAGAGGGACATTACCAGCTACCTGCTGATTCTGTCTTTGTCATGGCACAGATCAGAGCCAGCATGTGGTCTGCTAGCTAATACACAGATACCTCTCAGCAAGGCAGAGGGAAGGGGGGAATTCCTGCTTAGCAGGGAGTGGTGACGGGGAGAGGGGAGCAGCCTACAAGTCTCTGCCAGAGCTGCAGCCAAGGAGCAGGGGAGTGGGGCCAGCTCTGCTGTGGAGCAGAGCACCCCACCCAGCCCAGAGAACATGCTGGGATGCTGGGGGTGTCTGGTATAACTTAAACCAGCAAGAGGTCTGGGACAGACATTGCATAAATCAGTTTGACCCAAATCAGTTAAGTGTGATACTACAGTCAACCAAGTTTATCTCAAACTGGTTTCAGTCATTTTCAAACTGGTATATGTGCACTTAAACTGATCACTTAAACTGGTTTGTGTGCAATATCTGTCCCTAGCGCAGGTGGATGCAGAGAGCAGAGCCAGACTATAACACAAGTCTCATGCCTGACTGCCCCTAAGGGGCCAACTCCTATGTGGCTTCTGAGCTTATCTCTAGCCAGAAGGCAGGACTTTGTGTTCCCAACCCTGGTGCACAGTAAAAGGGAAGGCCGGACAGTTTTTCCTACTGGCCAACTACACAGGAGCTGTGCTTATGGAGAGGCTGAGACAGTAAACAACACCAGACCCACAGCTCAATGGCTAGAGTTCAAATAAAACAATTTATGCAGAAATTCCCGTGCTACCTTTACTCCCTCTCCTCCTAGTGCTTCTTTCCTCAGGGGAGCAAGCTGATACACTAATTTCCTTGCTATCAGAAGCAGCTATATTTCAGGAGAAGACAGGACAGCAGTGGGCTAAAAATGCATTCTCAGGGGAGCACTAGAGAGGCAGAGAATTCATGTAAGGCAGAGGTTGTCAAACTGTGGTCTGCGGACCACCACCAGTCCGCAAGCTCCATTCAGGTGGTCAGCAGAAAGGTGACCTAAGGCTAAAGCTGACAAACATTACACCCGACTTCCCAGAACTTTGCTCAAAAAAACAGGCACATCCATCGCTTTAGAAAGGTAAGACTACTGATATTAAAATGATATTAAAGTGCTTTGGTTTGTAGAACAAAAAAAGTTTATTAAGTGGTCCGCCGAGACCCTCAGCAATTTTCAAGTGGTCTGTGAAAAAAAAAGTTTGAGAACCACTGATGTAAAGCATTTCCCCTTTCTTATAGAGGACAGGACATACCACAGAGCACCTGGCAGTCTAACCAACTCTTGCTGCTGTGGGTGCAGTGCACTGCATATGATTGGTGGCTGGTTCTCCTCAGCAAGGCAATGAAGGACTCATTGTCTGAGGACAGATGGCCCTAGTTCCAGGAACACAGGGTGGTTCTGCTGCAAGACAAAGGGAAAGAAAACCTAGCCCATCTGCTACATAACATGCAGCAAGGGCTGGAACCCAGGGAGATATCATCTGCACAGGGTTGTGTTTGGTCAATGCTTGCTCAGAGGCCTTTAGAGAGAGCCCATGTGGATTCAAGAAGTGCTGATGATGAACCGGATGGTGACCATGGGGGAGAGGTTAGGAGTGCCCAGCTTGTGTAAGCCCTAGGTCTTGCCTGCATATGAGCATTCATGATCCACGGGTATGATGCGCGTCATGCCTGTGGATCATGAATGTGCATATGCAAGCAAGACCTAGGGCTTACGCAAGCTGGAAGCTCCTAATCTAGCCACAGCCTGTATGTAACATGGGTGTTTTTCTTCTCTGCAGCTGGCTCTATAGAATTCTGCCCTCAGTCTGCCAAAAGCCCTTTGAATGCATTCATGAAAACCAGCTGACACATGACTGGGATGAAGTGGAGCCTGACCCCAACCAGGTAACCATGTCTTAAGAGAGGAAACAGCTGCAACAGGCTGTGTTGAGCTGGAAACTTTATGTTTGCTTTACTGGAGGGTCCTGTGCATTACACACCAAGGGAAATGTGTCTTGAAAACACATGTAGGTCTGAACCTACCACTGGAATGAAGGCCAATGCCAGTTTATTAAAAGTCACGTTTGTGTTCTGTCAAACACGATCATGAGAGAAACCAGGATGCACCTGCCTCTAGCCTCTCCCACCCAGCAATCTCACAGCACGCAGCAAACAATACTCAGTCCCTGCCATGCCCCATTTGCTAAGTAGACATTAATATCTCTACTTTATTTCTGGGGAAGCTGAGGTACTGAGAAAGTAAATGATCTGACCAGTCACCCAGTGAGCTGACAATCCCAGCAAGATTAGAACCAGGATCCTGACCCTGTACACTGGCTACCAGAGGATGCTTTCCCATACAACCTAGTGAATAAGAGTTTGTCTCCACATATATTTAGGATCAACCTTGAGGTTGCCCTCAACAAATCTAAGCCAAAGGAATCAACACTTCCCCACTCACATTACTCCTTATAGCTTGCACTACAGCCATCTATCATGTCCTGCTTCTTTCTTGAGATCAGCACTAAGATACCATATTTACAAGCATATCACACACTCCTGAAAAAGATATGCATCTTGTTTTGGGAAGACAGACTGAAGAACAATGTTTTTCCCAGAATCTTACCTGCCACAGCAAAGACTCGCCATGGCTGAATGCTGGCTGCGTGGAGTGGGGCTGGAGTCCACTCATCATCAGCATTACTCACACCTAGAGGTTTAACCCTGGCAGGGAAAGCACCGTGACCATGTAGGCGGGCTCCCCAGGGCAGGTGATTGTCTCTAATATGTCCTCCATAGGAGGTCTATATTGACCAGATTTTTGGTGTTGGGTGGTGGACCTGGAGTTTGCTCCATCCACTCCATGCATTGACCTGGTATACCAGTGCTTCCAGGACCGGTGCAAAAAACCAGACAAAAAAAAAGAAAAAGCAGCCCAGGGGCTGGGGTGAGTGGGGACAAGTGGAGCCTCGGAGCTAATCGCATAACAGTGAATTTACCTCGGGTATAACGAATTTGGGGGGTAAAAAGGGTCGTCACATAAGAGCGAATTCACATATACCGAACCTGATATTTTCCTAAAATAAGATACTTTCATCATTCATC